CTTCAAAAGAATGGTGAAATAGACGTTCAACAAGTTCGTTCAAGTAATAATTTGGCGGATCTGTTCACTAAGGCATTACCAACCTCAACATTTGAGAAACTAATATACAAGATTGGAATGCGGCGTCTTCGAGACACTAAATGATGTTTTCATCAGGGGGAGTAACTACGCGCTGCACTCTTTTTTCCTTAACCAAGGTTTTGTCCCACTGGATTTTTCTGGTAAGGTTTTTAACGAGGCAACAAATAATGCGTATTACATATAACTATGTACTCTTTTGTAGTAAAATCTTAGTAAAGCATATTTATTTTACATGGACATCCAAGAGGGAGCGTTATAAATAGTTTAAGGAGTGGATTCGATGCTGCTATGGACACCCATTTCCCATACTGTTTGATGTTGAGTATTTCCATTCCTCTTACTATTTGTGAATAGAAAGTGTACTTTTTAGGCTTATAAATAACCTTGTATCTGATGGGTAAAAAGACACCAAAATGAAAGAAGAAAAGACTTTTATCTCTTCTTATTTATATTTTACTGCATTGCTTTTATTTTATAACAAAAAAAATATTTGATAACTATACGAGTCATTTGGCTATTGGGAAACAAGAAGGCTCTTAATAAAATTTTGTTGAAGCAATATAATTTAATCAAACAAGCCAAATTATAATTCGACATGTTTTTAAATTTTTTTATATAATCCGTACGTCGTGCGAGTTCCAATACTAATTATGTGTTAAAAAAGAAAAAGTGTATGAAGTTAAGATTAAAGTTTATACATATTTTGACCCTTCTGGTATCTATACAAGAACACATAATTGTAGTAGTACTTACTAATTAGTTGAAGCATGAGTGGTCAAGAACTTTTGGAGTACAATCATCAATTATTCCAACGTACGTAAGTCGTAACTCAACCGATTTGTGCAGAGCAAACTGCAAAGAACGATGGCTTTATTACATTTGGTTGACGATAATTAAGAAGTAATGCAAATGTAAAGTAACTACCAATTTAGGACATGAAGTAAATCCTTAGAACTACAATAATCGCATACCTAATCCACTTAATTGTGTGACATAAGGCCGACATTATTTGCATAAAATCTTGTGTTGCTATTGTCTCCAAAAACCTAAAATCTTTATATTTTTGTTTCGGATTAGTTAGTTCACTCTTGTGCGAGCGCAAGATCATTAAGGCGTTCATATCAAGACGAATTACATACCTGATTAGATTGTCGATCTTCATCAGTTCGAACTTAAATTAGAATATTTCACAATGTATAATTCATCATGAGGGTGTACAATATACCTTTAAAACTTTAGGAAGATTTCTGAAAATCCTAACGAATTATATGAGATTGAGTGAATCTTTTGTTGTTGGTGTATGATTAAAGCATTTGATGTATCTGACAATTTGTGGGTAGAGTTTAACTAAAGGCATTAATTCTGATCTGTATTAAAAGAGATCAAACCTTACTAGAAGAGCCCCTCTCCATCCGTCATTTTAGGGGTGTCAATGGTTCGGTTCGACCGGTTATTTTATAAAATTTGTACCATATTAATTTTTCGGTTATTCTATTATGTATAACCAAAATTAAAATTTTCGAAACCGTTTCAATCATGTCGGTTTCTCTTCGGTATCGGTACGGTTCGGTTAATTTTCGGTATTTTTTTTAATATCATGTAAAATTCACTAGTAGAAGTAGAATTGCAATAACATACGCTCTTTTATAGGACTTAGCAAAACTCTCTAGACATTTTACTGTTTAAAAAAGTGATGAATTAAAAAAAAAAGATGGCTAGAGTATAGATCCATCAACTATTCTACAACAGCGTAAAAGAAATCAAACAAAGGCAAAGAAAATATTAATCACACGAGTTGAAAGATATACCAAGCCGAGACTCAAGAATAAAGTCTATAGAAGATTAAATATTCAAAAAGATAAATCTAAATTATATGAAAGGAAACATATTCAATACATTGTAGTTTGTTACTCATAATCGCTAGAACACTTTGTGTCTTTCTAATAAAGATACTTGAAATAAGTTAGTTTAAGTAGAAGTAGCATAATAAGTTTTAGGAATTAGTATTTTGAGTTTAATTACTTGTTGACTTGTAATAGTTTTCATAATTTCAAGGCTCAAAGAAAATTTAATGCATTATTATTTTTAAACTTACTAAATAAATATATTTTCTACATGTAAAATTTATTCGGTACGGTTCGATATTTTTTCAGTTTATTTTTATCAAATAAAAAACCTACTATAATTATCGGTGTTGTTATATATTTATATAAAAACCTACGGTTTCTTAAAAAGAAACCTAAAAATCGATTCGGTGCGGTACGATTCGGTCAATTTAGTCGGTTTTCGGATATCCATTGACACCCCTACTTCATTTAATCAAAAGAAATGACGAGATGTGCTAGTCACATTTATTTTCAACCTAAAAATTATAAATTCGAATCGCCAAAGAAAAAAAAAAATTAAAATCATTTTTGATGAAGGATGAAATGGCTATATGGTAACAAAAAAAATAAAGTAAAAATAAATAAATAGAGGAACAAGATCAGTGTACTATTAGAGCCCGTTTGGAAAGAATATTTTCGTTTTTTTTGAAATGAGTGTTTGACAATAAAATTTTAATTTTCACCTGAAAATAAATTTTGATATTTTTCGAAAATTTTAAAAACTCCAAAAAGTTATTTTTCAAAATTTTTCACTTAGATCACTCACCAAAATTCAAAAATAACCCAAAATTAAATTCATGTCGAAACACTAATTTAATTTTTAAATACCAATTTCACTTAAAATTTATTTGTACTTTTTCCCAAATTTTACTATTCTTATGTTCAAACGCCCACTAAAATTTAAACTAAAATTTAAACTAGTTAACGAGTCAAATGAACAGTTCTGATTTTTCAGTGGTCCCAGGCATATGCTACTACTAGAAAATTCTGGGATGCAGTGTAACAGTACAAAACCAAATTTTTACCCAGACAAAACAAAAGCAGAGTCCTGTTTTCAAACTAGAGTACTGGTCCCAAAGACATGTAACTAGAAAAGTTTTAATTTATATATTTTAACAGTATACATAGTTTTTGCGCGGTTAATTTAATTTAATCACTTGGGGTGTTTGGTACAAAGGAAAATGTTTTTCATGATAAATGTTTTTTTTTAAAATATTTTCATGAAAAATGAGTGATTTTATCACTTATTTTTCTTTGTTTGGCTAATTAATTGAGTGGCCGTTTTATTTGAAAACACGTTATGCTAGGATTAGTTATGCCGGGAATAGTTATACTGCGATTAGTTATCATGATATTATTTTTATATTGATTGTTTGTTATCTTTTATTAATCTTGTGACTGTCAATTTTACTGTTTTATCCTGTGATTACTATTCCACTCTCTGTCATGTATAAGTTATCCAGTATTATTTTTTAATCCTGAGATAACTTATCCCAGGATTAGTAACCAAACAAGAGATAAGACAGTACTAAATTTTTATCTCATAATTACTTTTGCTTATACATCATACCAAACGACCCCTAACAGTAGATGCCATGCTTTATTTTTTATTGGTAATTCTAATTATTATGGATATTTACTCAGTGATACTCTTCCCTATTTAGTTTATCCCAAAAAGAATAAAACTTTTATAAAACATAAACACTTTAACTTTAGACTTCTCATTTTACTCTTAATGAGATGATTTATATGCACACAAATGTCTATGACTTGTTTTAGCCCATATATACGACATGATATTGTCGTCGCCATATTTCAAATGTCACTTAGTCATCTCTGCTTCACTGCGGGTCAGCACCTCCGAAAGAAACAAAGGATTTCATTCATTGACCCACGATCACCACGTGAATGATCAGAATAAGGTAAAGCTTGAAGATAAGTTTTGTACTCAATTAATTTTCCGGTCCCTTTCCTAAAAAGAATTCTATCTTTCTTAAACTAGGTATCTAGCCAAACAACATTACATTTCATAAAATATAATAAAAGTAAAAATATAAAAGTTCTTTTACACAATCAATATATAGAGCTTAAATTCAATTAGAATTATACCTGGGAAAATATATAACAGAACAGAAGCATAGAGAATCAAAATCTGACTAAAGTTTGGCTTTCAGTGATACTGCTTAAGCTCAGGGGGGCGTGTTGCAGCAGATCTTTCTATCTAGTCCCTTTTAACCAGCTCACTGCCATTTCAAGATTTCATATCACATCAAAAACCAGTTCCTCATATCTTATTGATCCTCATAAAAGAAAGAAACAAAGAAAGAAACAAAGAAAGAAGATTCTAGCTCACCCCCCCCC